GGGGCGTCTGCTGGGGGCGGGGCCTCCGAGGGGCTGGAAGTGCTCAGGTCCTGGACCCACCTGACGGTCGCACAATGCTCTGCGTGCACTAAATGCCTCTGAATTGTTCATTTCAAAAAGGTGAATTCTCAGCGTGTGGACTTCACCTCAATGCCCCTTAAGAGTATAAACTGTGCTTTTTGCATTTAAAAATTATTGTTGAGCCCGGCAGGTATGGTTCAGTGGCTGAGCATTCACCCCAAAACCAGGAGGTCAGGGTTCGGTTCCCGGTCAGGGCACATGCCTGGGGTGCAGGCTCGATCCCCAGTGGGGGGCCTGCAGGAGGCAGCTGATCAACGACTCTTCATTGAGGTTTCTCTCTCTTCCCCCCTTCTCCCTTCCTCTCTCTAAAATAAATAAAAACATGTTTTAAAAATTGAAAAAGGAAGTTAAAACATAACCCACAATGAGAAAAGGTGTTTACAAATACCATAGGTGACATGGGACTTGTATCCGGAATGTATAAAGAATTCCTCATAATAAAAACTCCTGCCCTGGCCAGTGTGGCTCAGTGGTTAGAGTGTCGCCCACAGACCAGAGAGTCTCGGGTTCGATTTCCAGTCAAGGGCGTGTACCTCGGTGGCAGGTTCCCAGCCCCAGCCCAGGCCTGTATAGGAGGCAACCAATTGATGTGTCTCTGTCTCCATCTCTCTCTCTCCCTCCTTTCCACTCTCTCTAGAAATTAATGCAGTAATGTCCTTGGGTGAGGATTCAAAAAAGAAAAAACCACCCTCCTAACTCAATAATAAAAAGACAAATAACCCATTTTTAAAATGGATAAAGGATGTGAATGAACATTTCTTCAAAGACGACACACAAGTGACCATAGTGACCATGCAGCACATGGAAAGATGCTCCGCACCGTTAGCCAGCAGGGAAACTCAAGCCCAAACCAGGCGAGACGCCAGCTCACACTCACCGGGGTGGCTAATGTCAGAGACGGACAGTAGCAAGTGCCTACAGAGAAACGGGCATTCTTACCTACTGCGGGTGGGAGTGCGCAGCTGTTTGGGGAACAGTCTGGCGGATCCTCAAATGCTAAACACAGACCAAGAGATGAAAAGGGGCCCCCACAGGAACTCCCACACGGCGCTCTCAGCCGGAGGAGCCGTGGGCCCGGGGGAGGCAGAGGCCTGTGCTGTGTGTAACCCACCGTGGTGACCATCCAGCACAGGGGCTGGGGGTGGGGCCCAGTTTATTCTGGGATATGAAAATATTCTAAGATTAGATGCCGGCAGTTGCACAGCCCTGTGAACTGTACTCTTTAGAAGGGCAAGCTGTGTGGTGTGTGAATTACATCTCGATAAAGCTGTTATGAGTAAAAATAATCCTGGGGTAGAGCAGGCCTGAGTCTGCTATAAACCCTAAAACCACGGAAGGAAAGGCTGACAAACTTGACATCAAAGTGAGAAGTTTCCACTGCAAAAGCCCCCTGAGCAAAGTCAAAAGACAACCTAGAAAAATGTCAACTCCCACCTTGAAGGGTTAAACCCCCTGAAGTATAAGAACCAAGAAAATGGCCCAAGGGGCAGGGGACACAGATGACCCAAAACATCACATCCCAGACAAGAAAATGCCTAACGAAGACGGGACACACACACACTTCTATTCCTCAGCAAAGGAGCCCTGGAGCCCCCTGGGGTGCAGGGGGAGACAGGACAGGACAAAACCTCTCGTGGTTGCAGTAAATAGTACATAACCCTCGTTCACCTCTAAGAGCCCCGCTTCCCCTAAACCCCACCTGTACCAGGTACTGCTTCTACCAGGCTGGTCACTAGCCTGGGTTATAGTGGGAGGAGATGAGATCCGCCCCGTCCATCCAGGGGGGCCACCTCTGCCTTTAAGGACAACACAGGGGACATGAAGGCCCCTTGTCCCTGCCCCATCACCAGAGCACCAGCCCCCAGTCTCCGCAAAACCTTCTCAGGAGCATTTGCAGAGACAAGTCAGCGGTGTCCCAGCCTCATGCGAATCTGGGTCCCTCTCCCCTCCTTCCTGACAAGGTATCACACCACATGTGTGGTTTCCAGCCAGAGCCCGGCCCAGGGTGGCACCAGGATGGGCCTCCCCACCCTGTGTTCCATATGATCGGCTGAGTTAGGGTGTGTCCAGCAGCCTCAGTGAGTGTCCCAGGCACACAGAGTGACCTCGTTAAATGCAGGTTCTGACGTGGCAGGTGGGCCTTGGGGCTCAGGACAGTGCATTTCTAACAAGCTCCTAGAGGAGCCTGCTGCCACCGAGTTACAGCAATAGCAGCAAACTAGTTACTCCCAGGTGGGGATGCACTCAGGGTTACCAACCCTGGACCGGTGTCCCCACAGCAGCCCTGGGCAAGCTGCCCGCCACCTTCTCTAACGACCACTGTGCCTGCTACACTGGGATCTCGAGCAGCAGGCAGGCTCCCCAGCCGCCATAGGGCCAGAAGGCACCTGCTCTGTCCCACATCTTCTGCCCTACCTGGTGGTCTCCCCAGCCTGTGCCCACTCCCTCTCCACTTCATTTGGGTTGGGGGGGAACCCTCCTACCACTGCAGCCCGAGCCACCACCCCATTTACTGCCTGATTGTCCCCATCTGCCCCCCTATTCTAAAGCCTTCCCCAGAGCCAGCAACCTCCCCGGGCCTCCTGCAGCAAGAGCTCGGACAGCTCAATAGACGTGGATCATGGTGAGTGGGGGCTGTTGCCCTCCAGGGTGCACATGGGGGTGAGCAGTGAATCCTAAGAACAGGAGGGCCTGTCCTTTAGCACAGCTGAGCACCAGCCTCCAGGCGCTGGGACTCAAGGACCAAGGCCCCAGGAGCTGCCCAGGGAGGGTACCCTTCGCCCTCTCTCTGCATCTGCCCCACAAGGGAGGTGAGGGAGTCAGCCCAGAGGGGCCAGAAAATGAGAGGCCTCCCCAGCCTCAGGCCCCCACCAGGCTGATCCCTGGAGCACCAGGGATGGAGGGACCTTTGAGGGCCAGGCCGAGGTCCCCCAGGTGGCCCCAAGTGTCCTCCCCCCGGCCCCAGGCTGTACCTCCACTTGGGCCTCCTCCCAGGTGTCCAGGCGGACGGACTTGACCTTGCTGACCTGCGGGATGTTGCGGTGGATGGCGGAGCAGCTCAGGCAGATGAACACGCCCAGGGTGTAGGAGGCCCAGTCAGGATCTAGAAGGCAAAGGCCAGAGTCGAGGTCAGAGGAGGCCAGAGCACAGGGTCAGAGGGCACAGCTGGGAGCCCCAGCCCCGCAGGGGCCTCCTCCTGGCCTCAGTCTCCCCATCTGTGCACAGGCAGCTGGCGAGGGGGTCTGCAGGGTCAGTGGCTCTGTAAACCCCAGCCAGGACCCTGTGCGCCCCCAGAGGAACAGCCGCCTGCCTGACACCTCCGCTGCCCTGGGGCCGGAGCTGCCCAGACCCCTCACTGGACACTGCGTCCTGTGGGGACGCTGATGGTGGCAAGTCTGAGGACAGACCATGGGCTCGATGACAGCATGCACTTATCCTGCGTGACGAGGACTCCGGCTTGGCCGTGCATGCCAACTGGGCGGGGGTGGGGGGACGTCATGTGTCTAGTTTGAGAAGGTTGAGCAGACACGTCGGGGGAATGGGGACGTGGCAGGGCGCTGACAACCCCCAAGCCTAAATAGCAGGTACAAGGGGTCACGTTTCTGTGGGTGGATGTTTTTCACACTGACCCACGGCAAAGGGGACGCCATGGAGGGTGATGCTGGGCAAGCTGGCACTGGTGGCGCTCTCTCCTGTTCAGCACATCCCAGC